ATTATTATAATTAATTTATTATTTATTATGTAAGAAACTATGCATTAAATAAAATGCATTGAATAAAACTTTTCTAATAACTATTAGCTAATAAAAAGCCAATCAATCCAATTAAATTATATAAATATATATATTATATAAATTAAATTATAATAAACAAATATCTAATATATATATAAGATTTCTTTTCTCAAAAAATTTACTTTAGAAACAAGAAGGATATTTTTTTAAAATCGAAAAATATGTGCTTAAAATAAAATATGAACATAAAAAATCAATATAACATTTATTATCTATACTTCATGTATCGTTGTGAATCACTATATTTTATTAATTTACAAAATTTATTACATCAAAATTAATACATTCAAAAGTGCAATTATAGTGCACTTACTATAAATATTTTAAATATCAATATCTTAATTAGAAACTCTTAAACTTTTTATGTATTATTATAATAATAAAATTATAATAATTTATATTTATATACATATGTTATTAAAAATAATATTAATTATAATTATTAATAAATGAAAAAGATTCATATATATTATAACCAATAAAAATTCAATAAAATTTCATCTTATTTATATTTTCGTTCTTTATTATAAAACATACTTATATTTGTTTAAACAAATATTTGTTTTAACAAAATTGTTAAAAAATAAATAATTAAAATAAATAATTATAATTTTTTATTTAAATTATTACCTTTTGTATGGCAAATTTACCTTATGATGGCAAATTTTGCATGCACTATAATGATATTTAATAACTTATAATAACAAACACTTTCTTAACATTTTAATTTATAATTTTACAATAAAACTTTCTTACCACCACATAATTATGGTTGAGAAAATACGAATCAGTATATGTCAGTATCAGTCATTATAAATGAAAATCGTCACTAAGCAACTGTATTAGCGGCTATAAGATAGAAAAATAATGTAAATATGTACGTAAATATATATGTAAATAAAAGTAAGAATATACAATTACGATAAACAGATATAAAGTTAATAAAAGATATAAGTTAATAAAATAAATAAATATAAAGTTAATAAAATAAAACTAGAATCTTTAAATATTACAAATCTAATATAAACCAAATTTAATCGGATAAATTTATCATTTCCTTTTTGCTTCAAATTTTGAAACTTCACTTATGCACGAGAAAGATTTTTGATTCAAGTAAAATTCAAAATTTTATAAAAAATATTTTAGAATCATTTCTAATGTAAATAACAATGTAGAATAAGATTAATATTTATTTCTAATACTTCTTTTTTATTATTTTTTTTTACTAATTAATAGTTTTGTATATATTATATGTACTTATGTAATTCTATATATTTTATATTTTCTAATAATTGATAAAATAAATTTTTTTCTGATTTTTTTTTATCTTATATTATTATAAATATTTATGATAATTTTTAATATTTATTCATAAAAAATATGATATCTTGAATTGAAATAAAATTTTCGAACATATTTCTTATAAATATGCAAATAAATTAAAATTCTATAGAAAACATTTATGGAAATTATAATATCGAAAAAATGATAATACATTTTCAATGTTTTTCGAAATTAAATAACTTACTCAAATTTTACATATATCTATATCCTTTTTTTATAATAATTAATTATATTATTAAAAAAAGTTAAATTTATTATTTTTTTCTATAGATTTTATTTATTTTTAAAAAAAAATATAATAACATATATCTGAAAAATTAGATTAAGATTTTATTGTTTACAATAATTTTTTATTATAATTTTTATTATAATTTTTTATTACAAAAATACGTATTGTCATATGTTAAATTTGAATCTGATTATAAAAATTCACTATCACATTAAATTTAGGAAATAAATAGATAAAAAATATCAATTTTTGCAATACTTATGAAAATATTCTAAAGAAAATTTTTTTTTCAATGTTTTTATCAATTACATCATATAATACTATTTTTTTCCTGTAAAATCAAATTTGATCATTATAGATTTTTCTTTACTGAAATATATCGCTATAAAATTATTATATTTTTAATTTATAAATTATAAACAGGGAAAGTTTGTGAAAATTCTGATTTATTTTTTTCAAGAAAACTAATAAAAATATATACTTTTCTTCATATATCAAGTATTTTTTAATAAATTTTATATTTACGCGTTAAAAATAAAATAAATTAAAGTTATATAACTTAATAAAAATATTCTATATATAAATATCTATATATAAATATCCTATATATAATAAATTCAATGCATACGATAAAAATAGTATTACATACAATTGAATTAACAAAAATAAGTGTTGAATTAAAAAATTAAAGAATTATTTCTTTGGCAAAAAATAAATAAAATAACAAAAATCATTATTTTGTATTTATTTATCTCTAAATCCAAAGCAATAAAAGATTTTTACATTTGTTTATAATTCAAGATATAAAATATATAAGAAATCATTTTTCTCTCAATAATAAAAATTCATTAACTTATTTTCAGGCGATTTTTCGTGATATCATTTTGTTCCATCCATATAATAAATAAAATTTATGGAAAAAAATGTTAATTGACTTTTAAATGCTATTTGATTTTTCACTATTATTATTTTCATTATTATTATTAAGAAAATACTTTATATAATACATAAAATTTTGATAAATTGTATCAAGAAACATTAAAAATCAAAATATATTATTCATTTTGTCCATTTTGTACATTTAAATTCAAAATAAAAATAAATAAATAAATAAATTCGAATTAAATGCGAAATATAACATAGAACTAAAGAGGTCGACGGTTAAATTTAAATATACCAAGCGAAGAACAAACTAACATGTTTACGTTTATGATAAATGTGTTATAAATATATGTATATATATTTATTTTTCAAATAAATTGCTGTATGGATATATGTAAAAGGACAGAATTCAATGTAATAACAACAATTTTTTTTGCAAATCTTGAAAACTAAAAGAATCTAACGGCTATATATATTCTATGCTAGACATATTATATGTATAGTAAAAAAAATATAGCTTCAAAAAAATTTGAAATTGAGCTTTACAATCTTTGCAAAATCAAATAAATGATATAATCTATTCTCCTTAATATTTTATAATTTCTATTTTTTACTTTTCTCACTTTTCAATACAATTAATTGAAGAAATTAGAATATGATACACTATTTATTAAAATATTCTTTATTAAAAATAAATTATAAAAAATTAAATGTTTTTTTTTATTCATTCTTTTCTTTAATAAAATTTTCTTATTTTTATTATATTATTATATTTATTATAAAAGTAGAATAATAATCTATTATTCACTAGAAATTGTATTTTACATATAATAAAACTTTAACAAAACTGCTGTAATAAAATTACTAAATTTCTAATTTTTAAATAATTAAAAAAAAATATATATATATATTTTTAACTTCTTAATTTGTATTTCAAAGTTCATATTTTTAAATTATTTAAG